CCCCGGGGCAAGGGTGGGGCCAAAATGGCCGACCAAAATTTTACATAGGAATATATAAGAAAAATCTTAAAAAATCTTCTTCTCCAGAACCACTGGTCCAGGAAAGATGAAACTCATGTGGAATTATCCTCAGGTAGTGTAGATTCAAATTTGTTCAAATCATGACCCCCCGGGCAAGATGGGGCCAAAATGGCCGACCAAAATTTTACATAGGAATATATAAAAAAATCTTTAAAAATCTTCTTCTCCAGAACCACTGGGCCAGAAAAGATGAAACTCATGTGGAAGCATCCTCAGGTAGTGTAGATTCAAGTTTGTTCAAATCATGACCCCCGGGGCAAGGGTGGGGCCAAAATGGCCAACCCTAGTTTTACGTATGAAAAATCTTTAAAAATCTTCTTCTCCAGAACCACTGGGCCAGGAAAGGTGAAACTCATGTGGAAGCATCCTCAGATAGTGTAGATTCAAGTTTGTTCAAATCATGACCCCCGGGGCAAGGGTGGGGCCAAAATGGCCGACCAAAGTTTTACATAGGAATATATAAGAAAAATCTTTAAACATCTTCTTCTCCAGAACCACTGGGCCAGGAAAGATGAAACTCATGTGGAATCATCCTCAGGTAGTGTAGATTCAAGTTTGTTCAAATCATGACCCCCGGGGCAAGGGTGGGGCCAAAATGGCCGACCCAAGTTTTACATAGGAATATATAGGAAAAATCTTTAAAAATCTTCTTCTCCAGAACCACTGCGCCAGAAAAGATGAATCTCATGTGGAAGCATCCTCAGGTAGTGTAGATTCAAGTTTGTTCAAATCATGACCCCCGGGGCAAGGGTGGGGCCAAAAGGGCCGACCCTAGTTTTACATAGGAATATATAGGAAAAATCTTTAAAAATCTTCTTCTCCAGAACCACTGGGCCAGAAAAGATGAAACTCATGTGGAATCATCCTCAGGTAGTGTAGATTCAAGTTTGTTCAAATCATGACCCCCCGGGCAAGATGGGGCCAAAATGGCCGACCAAAGTTTTACATTGGAATATATAGGAAAAATCTTTAAAAATCTTCTTCTCCAGAACCACTGGGCCAGAAAAGATGAAACTCATGTGGAATCTTCCTCAGGTAGTGTAGATTCAAGTTTGTTCAAATCAAGACCCCCGGGGCAAGGGTGGGGCCAAAATGGCCGACCAAAATTTTACATAGGAATATATAAGAAAAATCTTAAAAAATCTTCTTCTCCAGAACCACTGGTCCAGGAAAGATGAAACTCATGTGGAATTATCCTCAGGTAGTGTAGATTCAAATTTGTTCAAATCATGACCCCCCCCGGCAAGATGGGGCCAAAATGGCCGACCAAAATTTTACATAGGAATATATAGGAAAAATCTTTAAAAATCTTCTTCTCCAGAACCACTGGGCCAGAAAAGATGAAACTCATGTGGAATCTTCCTCAGGTAGTGTAGATTCAAGTTTGTTCAAATCATGACCCCCGGGGCAAGGGTGGGGCCAAAATGGCCGACCCTAGTTTTATGTATGAAAAATCTTTTAAAAATCTTCTTCTCCAGAACCACTGGGCCAGGAAAGGTGAAACTCATGTGGAAGCATCCTCAGATAGTGTAGATTCAAGTTTGTTCAAATCATGACCCCCGGGGCAAGGGTGGGGCCAAAATGGCCGACCAAAGTTTTACATAGGAATATATAAGAAAAATCTTTAAACATCTTCTTCTCCAGAACCACTGGGCCAGAAAAGATGAAACTCATGTGGAATCATCCTCAGTATAGATTCAAGTTTGTTCAAATCATGACCCCCGGGGTAGGGTGGGGCCAAAAGGGCCGACCATAGTTTTACGTAGGAATATATAGGAAAAATCTTTAAAAATCTTCTTCTCCAGAACCACTGGTCCAGGAAAGATGAAACTCATGTGGAATCATCTTCAGGTAGTGTAGATTCAAGTTTGTTCAAATCATGACCCCCGGGGCAAGGGTGGGGCCAAAATGGCCGACCAAAGTTTTACATAGGAATATATAGGAAAAATCTTTAAAAATCTTCTTCTCCAGAACCACTGGGCCAGAAAAGATGAAACTCATGTGGAATCATCCTCAGGTAGTGTAGATTCAAGTTTGTTCAAATTATGACCCCCGGGGCAAGGGTGGGGCCAAAATGGGCGACCAAAGTTTTACATTGGAATATATAGGAAAAATCTTTAAAAATCTTCTTCTCCAGAATCTCTGGTCCAGGAAAGATGAAACTCATGTGGAATCATCCTCAGGTAGTGTAGATTCAAGTTTGTTCAAATCAAGACCCCCGGGGCAAGGGTGGGGCCAAAATGGCCGACCAAAATTTTACATAGGAATATAAAAGAAAAATCTTTAAAAATCTTCTCCTCAAGAACCACCAGGACAGGAAAGATGAAACTCATGTGGAATTATCCTCAGGTAGTGTAGATTCAAATTTGTTCAAATCATGACCCCCCGGGCAAGATGGGGCCAAAATGGCCGACCAAAGTTTTACATTGGAATAATAAGGAAAAATCTTTAAAAATCTTCTTCTCCAGAACCACTGGGCCAGAAAAGATGAAACTCATGTGGAATCTTCCTCAGGTAGTGTAGATTCAAGTTTGTTCAAATCAAGACCCCCGGGGCAAGGGTGGGGCCAAAATGGCCGACCAAAATTTTACATAGGAATATATAAGAAAAATCTTAAAAAATCTTCTTCCCCAGAACCACTGGTCCAGGAAAGATGAAACTCATGTGGAATTATCCTCAGGTAGTGTAGATTCAAATTTGTTCAAATCATGACCCCCCGGGCAAGATGGGGCCAAAATGGCCGACCAAAATTTTACATAGGAATATATAGGAAAAATCTTTAAAAATCTTCTTCTCCAGAACCACTGGGCCAGAAAAGATGAAACTCATGTGGAATCTTCCTCAGGTAGTGTAGATTCAAGTTTGTTCAAATCATGACCCCCGGGGCAAGGGTGGGGCCAAAATGGCCGACCCTAGTTTTACGTATGAAAAATCTTTAAAAATCTTCTTCTCCAGAACCACTGGGCCAGGAAAGGTGAAACTCATGTGGTAGCATCCTCAGATAGTGTAGATTCAAGTTTGTTCAAATCATGACTCCCGGGGCAAGGATGGGGCCAAAATGGCCGACCAAAGTTTTACATAGGAATATATAAGAAAAATCTTTAAACATCTTCTTCTCCAGAACCACTGGGCCAGGAAAGATGAAACTCATGTGGAATCATCCTCAGGTAGTGTAGATTCAAGTTTGTTCAAATCATGACCCCCGGGGCAAGGGTGGGGCCAAAATGGCCGACCCAAGTTTTACATAGGAATATATAGGAAAAATCTTTAAAAATCTTCTTCTCCAGAACCACTGCGCCAGAAAAGATGAATCTCATGTGGAAGCATCCTCAGGTAGTGTAGATTCAACTTTGTTCAAATCATGACCCCCGGGGCAAGGGTGGGGCCAAAAGGGCCGACCCTAGTTTTACATAGGAATATATAGGAAAAAATCTTTAAAAATCTTCTTCTCCAGAACCACTGGGCTAGGAAAGATGAAATTCATGTGGAATCATCCTCAGGTAGTGTAGATTCAAGTTTGTTCAAATCATGACCCCCGGGGCAAGATGGGGCCAAAATGGCCGACCCAAGTTTTACATAGGGATATATAGGAAAATCTTTTAAGATCTTCTTTTCCAGTACTTCAAAGCTATGATTAGTGATATTTTTATGGAATCTTCCTCAGGTAGTGTAAGTTTGTTCAAATGATGAACGCCTGGAGGGGGGGGGGGGGGTAAATTCAAGCCCGATGTGCTCAGGTGAGCGCTGTGGCCCTTGGGCCTCTTGTTAGCTCACCTGAGCCAAAGGCTCAAGTGAGCTTTTCTGATCACATTTTGTCCGTCGTCCGTCCGTCTGTCTGTCCGTCTGTCTGTCCGTCTGTAAACTTTTCACATTTTCGACTTCTTCTCAAGGACCACTGGGCCAATTTTGACCAAACTTGGTACAAAGCATTCTTGGATGAAGGGGAATTTGTTAAAATGAAGGGACATATCCCCTCGCAAGGGGAGATAATCAAGAAAAGACAAAAATAGGGTTGGGTCATTAAAAAATCTTCTTCTCAAGAACCACTGGGCCAGTAAAGCTGAAACTTAGGTGGAAGCATCCCGGGGTAGTGTAGATTTTAAATTGTTCAAATCATGACCCCTGGGGGAAGGGCGGGGCCACAATGGGGTATCAAAATTTTACATAGAAATATACAGGAAAAATCTTTGAAAATCTTCTTCTCAGGAACCACTGGGCCAGAAAAGCTGAAACTTATGTGGAAGCATCCTGGTATAATGTAGATTCTAAATTGTTCAAATAATGATCCCCGGGGGAAGGGCGGGGCCACAATGGGGAATCAAAGTTTATATAGAAATATACAGGAAAAATCTTTGAAAATCTTCTTCTCAAGAACCACTTGGCCAGAAAAGCTGAAACTTATGTGGAAGCATCCTGGTATAGTGTAGATTTTAAATTGTTCAAATCATGACCCCCGGGGGAAGGGCGGGGCCACAATGGGGTATCAAAGTTTTACATAGAAATATACAGGAAAAATCTTTGAAAATCATCTTCTCAAGAACCACTGGGCCAGAAAAGCTGAAACTTATGTGGAAGCATTCTGGGGTAGTGTTAATTCTAAATTGTAGGAATCATGACCCCTGGGGGAAGGGCGGGTCCATTATAGGGAATCAAAGTTTTACATAGAAATATATAGAAAAAAATCTTTGAAAATCTTCTCAGGAACCACTGGGCCAAAAAAGCTGAAACATATGTGCCCATGGAAGGATCATGGGGTAGTGTAGATTTCAAAATGTCTAAATTATGATCAGTGGGGTAGGGTGGGGATGCATTATGTATAACAAGGGGGAAATCTGGTAAAGAACAGAATGGTCAAAGCTTCTCAGGTGAGCGATGTGGCCCATGGGCCTCTTGTTGATGATGTGTCTTATTAACATTAATTTTCTTTTTTACACAGGTTAGATAGTGAGGGATTAGATCTTCTATCAAAGCTGCTTCTGGTAAGGGGAAATAACTGTAGAAAAAAAAAATTGCTTTATATAGGTGTATAAACAAAAAATGCACTGCATCTTTATTTTTTGTTGACTACATAAGTAGTTGAATTGAAGAACTGAAAACAAATATCAATTTATTCAGAAAAAATACATCATTGATACTTAAATCTCACCTTTAAGTTTATAATGGTATCTTTTGTGAAGAATACAATTACAATTTCATGTTAATACTAAAATCACAGATTGGTGTAGTTTCTTTAACTAATTTGTAATATTAAACTTTCTCTGTATATTACATTATCATTTTGATTTTATTTGTTGCAAATATACACATTTTCAACTGGATGGATAAAGCAGATATTTAAAAAAAATCAGTTTGATATTCTCTATTTAATGTTAATCTGTCTGTGTAGAGGTGGATTTATTTTCTGTACGTAAGCTCTAAGACAGATAATGTATTCCTGATTTTCATTAATGAGGAGGCTAAGAAGAGTATTTTTTCTGTACATCCCCATTACAGCTTACAATGTATCCCTGGTGGGTTTTTTTTTCAGTATGAAGCTAAGAAGAGATCCTCTGCTGCTGAAGGAATGAGACACGCCTTCTTCAACAGTTTCGGACCAAGTGTTCACCGACTGCCCGACAGTACGTATATCTAATATACAGATATTTACACATTGACAACAGTTTCAGACCAAGTGTTCACCGACTGCCTGACAGTATGTACACTAATCTCTAATATACAGATATTTACACATTGACAACAGTTTCGGACCAAGTGTTCACCGACTGCCCGACAGTACGTATATCTAATATACAGATATTTACACATTGACAACAGTTTCGGACCAAGTGTTCACCAACTGCCCGACAGTATGTACACTAATCTCGAATATACAGATATTAACAGGCAGAAAACTTCATTGGACTGGAAGCATGCACATACAAAAAAAAAATAATTAAAACATTTTAGTGGATATTTTTGGTAGAGATTTTCTCTTTTTATTCCCCCTTTAATGAAGTTTTTAGTTTCTGCCCTGTTGGTCCATCTGACTATCTGTCTGTGTGCACAAAAACTATAACCTTGCCAATAACTTTTGAGTGGGTGGGGTTATGGCTTTCATATTTCACGTGTATATTCCTTGTGACAAGACCTTTCTTTGGGTATCACAAAATTTGATCTTGACCTTGGAGTTTGACCTACTTTTACAAAAAATACCACTCTAATCTTGGCTTTAACTTTTGAACAGTTGGAGCTTGGTCTTTCAAACTTCACATGTGTGTTCATTGTGATAAGACTTTTCAGTGCCAGGGTATAAATTTTTTTCACCTTCTGACCTTGAGTTTAGAGTTTGACCCAATTTTTAAAAACTTCAACCTTGGCCATTCCTTTTGAGCAGTTCAAACCAGGGCTTTCATATTTCACAGGCGTATTTATTGTAACAAGATCTTTCTTTGGGTACCAACACTTTAGACTTTTGGAGTTTGATGTGCATTTAAGAAAATTTAACCCTCACCATAAGCTGTTATTGAAGCACATCCTTCAGTAGTCATAGGGTAGTTTTCCATACATTGCTGATTTTAGCTCCCTCTGTGGTCACTGATCTCTCTATCCTTAAATGTCCAGAGACTGGTTAAAACTGGTTACAAGGTTACCTGTAGACCACTAAAGTGGCCTTCACATGAAAATTGGTCAGATTTCTTTCTTGATTACCTCCAAAGGGCTGTTAATAGCTTGTGACTAATGGACAAGTTTTCTCCTACTTATCAACACTTTTTGTTTAAAAAAGGCCAGAACTCCAGCAAAGTATTTTGTACAATAGTGTGATAATGTGACTGCAAGTATCCTTGGCATTTATTCCTAAAACAACACAAAAATTACCTTGAAAAAAAAAATGTATTTCACAGTCAATTTTGAGTGTTAATTCGAGGAAGTAATATTGAAACCCTATTTTCCAAAGGACAATGATATAGGAACATGAAAAATCTGTAAGGTAAATTGTATCATTTTGTGATAAATACAGGGATTTTCTACTATATGATGGGAGGGGGCCTGGGCCCTTGGAATTAATTGGGAATTTAGAGACATTTTTAGCTCTTCTGAGCCAAAGGCTCAGAGAGCTAATGCTATGGCCATTTGTGCGGTGTGTGTCGTGCGGTGTGCGTTAACTTTTTAGAATATGGGCCATAACTCAAGATCCCCTTGGCCAATCAGTGTCAAATTTGTCACAGGGTATTCTTTGCCCAAGGGCTACCATTTGTACTAAAATAAGGGTTGGGACCCTAAAACAAGGGTAGATTATCAGGAAAACAAAACAAAAAGAACTGGTTGCTAAAAAATTTTCTTCTCCAGAACCACCTGGCAGATTTTCACCAAACTTACATACAAGGATCATGTTGAAGATTAAAAATTGTTCAAGGCATGACCCTGGGGCAAAGGGCGTGGTCTCAAGGTCACTTTAAAGTTGACCTAAATTTACAGTTAATAAAAATGTTCATATTTTGCTTACTATAAGGACTAGGATCATCAAATCTTGTAAATTGATGCATCTTAGGACTTCACATCATGTTAACTCAAAAGTAGGTCACGGTGACCTACTTTTTAAATTTTGCGGTCATTTGTTTTCAAATTGATTTAAAGGCATATTTTGGATTTTGGCCTATGATCATCAAACTTAGTATTGATGCATCTTGGGTCAACGTCAACTTAAAAGTAGGTCACTCTGACCTACTTTTTGAACTTTATGACTTATCCTTATCAAAACATTTAATCCCATTATTTCAGGCACTGAAAGGGTTAGAATCATCAAATCTTGTAAGTTGCTGCATCATGGGACCTTAAAACATATTTGAAAAATTAGGTCACTGTGACCTACTTTTAGAATTTTGCAGGCATTTGTTTTCAAATTGTTTAAAAGGCATATTTTGATTACCTTCATATGATCATCAAATTTGGTCGCAGATGCATCTTGGGACTCTGAAAAATGTTGACCTAAAATGTATACGGTGACCCTGGTGCCATTTTATGGCTATATTTAAGTATCTTAGGTATTCATTGGCTTAGAATCATCAAACTTTGTGAGTTGATGCATCTTGTTTGACCCACAGTTTTTAATGGCTATATTTATGTATCTCCGGTACTTATTGGCTTAGAATCATCAAACTTTGTCAGTTGATGCATCTTGGGCTTTCAGAATTTTGACAAAAAGTAGGTTATGGTGACCTACTTTTGACATTTTATGGGTATATTTAAGTATCTCTAGTACTTTTTGGTTTAGAATCATAATACTTTGTCAGTTGATGCATCTTTGGTTTTTGGAGAATTCGACCAAAAAGTAGGTCATTGTGACCTACTTTTGAATATCTCAGGTATTTATTGGCTTAGAATCATCAAACTTGGTCAGCAGATGCATCTTGGGACTCTAAAAAATGTCAACAAAAATGTAGGTCACGATGACCTACTTTCGACATTTTATGGCTATATTTAAGTATCTCCGGTACTTATTGGCTTAGAATCATCAAACATTGTCAGTTGGTGCATCTTGGGTTTTCGGAGAATGTCGACGAAAAATTAGGTCACATTGACCTACTTTTTGACATTTTATGGCTATATTTTTGTATCTCTAAAGTGGCCTTCACAATCATCATACTTTTGTCAGTTGATGCATCTTGGATTTTCGATGTACCTAAAAGTAGGTCATGGTGACCTACTTTTGAATATCTCAGGTATTTATTGGCTTAGAATTATCAAACTTGGTCAGCAGATGCATCTTGGGACTCTTAAAAAATGTCAACCAAAATGTAGGTCACGTTGACGTTCTTTCGACATTTTATGGCTATATTTAAATATCTCTGGTACTTATTGGTTAAGAATCATCACACTTTATCAGGTGATGCATCTTGGGTATTTCTGAGAAACAAAGAGTAAAGTGACCTACTTTTGAAAATCTCAATTTATTGGCTTAGAATTATCAAACTTAGTCAGCAGATGCATCTTGGGACTCTGAAAATATCAACTTAAATGTAGGTCAAGATGACCTACTTTCCAAATTTTATGGCTATATTTAAGTATCTTAGGTATTTATTGGCTAAGGATAATCAAACTTTGTCACTTGATGCATTTTGTGATTTCCAAGAATGTAGACCAAAAAGTAGTTCTAATTGGCTAAGAATCATCAAACTTTGTCAGGTGATGCCACTTGGGTCTTTTATAGGATACTTAGGGTTAGAGGCTTCAAATAAAAGTGATAGGTTGTACAATATATCAGAAGAGCGATTCAAGGCCCTTGGGCCTCTTGTTTCCATTAAAAGGAAATTAATTTGTATAACAATTTTCAAGAAAAAAAAAACATAAATGATGGATAAATTTCAGGGGTTTATTTTATTATTAAGAACTTTAAATCAAAGATTATTTATAAAAAAAAAAAAAAAAACATCACTTGAACAGTGCATCTTAAAATTTTAGTCATCCATTGATTTCCAACTACGACTGTTACACACAGCTATTTATAGGGCTGAAACGATACACCCCCTCCACGATACGATACATATTGCAATACTTGTGTCACAATTCAATTTTTTCAATACAATACATTTTTTAAAAGAAACAGATGATTAAGTTAAAGAAAACATGTATTCAGATTCCAAAAGATACATAAAAGGTGGCGATACAAAAAAAAAACACTTTTTTTGCTTCTGTCGATTAAAAAAGCACATTGTCTGTGTCAATTCTACAACCACAGCCTCACAGCTCTAAAACTTCCTCTGTCTCAATTTTCTTTCTCTTGAGTGTCAAAATGAGGACGAAGACAGTCAATTCAAGAGGTAATCTAACCTGATTATAAAATATGTATTGAATTGAAAATTGAGGTAGTGAATTGAATATTGAATTGAAGAATTATATTGAACAATATCGATATTTCGATGAATTTTTTCAGCCCTAGCTATTTATAGACTATATTTCTATTTTAAGCTGTCTCCATTTTTACTGTACCCGCTATTGTATTAATCTATACTTTTCTATTTTTAGCTGTCTCCATTTTTACTGTACCCGGTATTGTTTTACATAAAGACCCAGGAATGAGATCTTCTTCCCTGGCAAATTCAGGTATGTTACCATAGCAACTGAACAACATGATTTTGTACTTTAAATTATGACTTCTAATTTAGTTTTATAGTAATTTTCCTTCTTCATTTTTGTCATGAATTTCTTTCTAGGGAAAATTCGTCGACAGAGTA